GTGCGGGAGACGGCAGAACGTGATTGCCCCTGGACCTGTGTGGAGGCGGTGTGAGAGCGGGAATAAAGAATTGCTGTTTGAATCTACAAAGTGTGGGTGCCTCCTGAATCTTGTGCCAAGCCCAGACATTGGCACCAAACAATGCCTACCCTAAACAAGGCAACTGAAGACATCCTTAACATCTCCACACTGTTTATGTGTGAGAGGGATCTACACCAGGAAGCATCTTAAAGATCAAACATAACACAAGAGCTCACCCAGTCGGTACAGTAGTACATACCTGTAATCCCTGCAACTCAGGAGGCAGAGGCGGGAAGATCACAAGTTCAAGGCCAGCCTCAGCAACTTAGCGGGACCCTGTCTCAAAATAAAAATAAAAATAATAATAATAATAATAATAATAATAATAATAATAATAAAAAGGGCGGGGGATGTACCTCAGTGGACAGCCCACATTTTGTGATCCAGAGAAGACCAAGGAGGTGAAGACGGTTGAAAGCAAGAGGAACAGCACTGGCCATGGACAGTTCAGTGAATATTCAGGAACCAAGAGCCCTCATCAAATTCAAAGTGAATCCTAGGAAGTAGATTTCTTTGGGAAATAGCTTCATTGGATCAAGGTAAAGCAACAAGGATTCGTCTGGAGAACAAATTCGGGAGACGATGTTTTTACTTGGCATATGGCAAAGCTGACTCGAAGGATGAGTTTTGGAGAAATTGTCATGTTTGGCAAGCCAGGAGGGAAAAGCTGCTGGCAGAGGAGCAGCCTGGAACAGGAACAGCAGACCCTCAAAGGGAGCTGAGGATACACACTAGGCACAGTACTGCTGAAGGCACTTAGGGAGATCACACCATCTCTGAGCCTCAGCTTCTTCAACAAGCATTTTGATCCAAGTGAAAATTATTCCCTCTTAGACTATCCTAGATAATGAATTCCATCTGCCAATCATTTTGTTTTCTTATCTTCTAATCTCCACCTTCATCTTCTTTTTTATTGTACTTAATAAGTATTTGAATATCATGTCTTTCTTTGCTAGAATTATTTTTATTGGATTTTTTCATATTTTTGGTACATTATAATTATACATATTATTGGGATTCACTGCAATAAATCTGTGCATGCCTTTAATTAAAGGAGGACTGGGGTGTTTTTGTTTTGTTTTGCCTATTTTGTTAATTGTTGTATTGTCAGCACCCAATATAGTGTTTAGCAAAAAGTAAGCACTCAATAAATGTTTGCTAAATATGAATAAATAAAGCTCTTTGCTAAATAAATTCTCGTACACACTTCACAACCCAGCTCAAGCTGAACTTCCCATAAAACCTTATGTTACCAATTCCCTCCAAACGCAGTTGGAACATTTATGGCTTGCTGTGCTGGTGCTGATGCATCTAAGGAGTACTGCTGAAGGTTCCAGTTGACACTATGCTCCCCAAGGCCGTGTTAGTGTCACCCACACTGCATAGCTCAAGGATTGGTAGGCTCTCATCAAGTAGAGCAACTGCTCTTTAGGTAGCACAGAGTTAGGCTCAGGGCTTCAAAAAACAGATTTCCTGACCTCAAGTCCTCCTGGTGGCCTGTGTTGTGTGAATCTGAAAATGATCTTGACTTTTTCTGGGCCTCAGCTTCCTTATGTGTAAAATGATAAGAATAGTTAACCATAGAGAGTTGTGATAAGGAGCTAAGGCACAAAGAGTGCTTGGAATAAAGCCTGGCACACAGATTTAAATGTTCAGATGGTTTTAATAACTTTATATTGAGAAGTTACAAGTTTGGCATAAATATATATGGCATAGACACACACACACACACACACACACACACACACACACACACACATGAAGTAAAAGGAAATAGCTAAAGAAGGTAAATGCTGAGGAAATATTATTTCTAAGGTCAGATAAGGATCTCCCCAAATGAGTTGATCATGGTTTT